TGTGGGGTCCCCCCTCCCATCCATACCAAGCCCTTCGAGTCTGGTATGGATTTTAAGGGGAGCCTCCCCCCACCACACCAAAATTTAAAAAAATAGTGTGAGGGTCCCCCCAAAATCCATAGCAGACCCTTCTCTGAGCATGCAGGTCAGGAAAATGGGGGGGGGTCAGTGAGCGCCCCCCCCTCCTGAATCATACCAGGCCACATGCCCTCAGCATGGGGGGTGCTTTGAGAGGGATCCCCCCAAAGCACCTTGTCCCCATGTTGATGGGCGGTGGTTGTGGGGGGCTTATTGGAAAAATTGGTTGAATTTAGACCCATGTATGGCCGCCATTAGTCATGCGGTATTTTAGTAGTGAGACATTAATTCATGTTCCTGGTGTCGGTGTTCTGGTGTTGGTGGGGTTCCTGGTGTTGGTGGGGTTCCTGGTGTCGGTGGGGTTCCTGGTGTCAGTGGGGTTCCCCGCTGACAGCTGAATGGAAAAAGAATTGTTGGCATTGCCCAACAATCCAAAAAAAAAAAAAAAGTAATGCGTGGGTTCCCCCCTCCCATCCATATCAAGCTCTTCGAGTCTGGTATGGATTTTAAGGGGAACCCCCCCCATCACACCAAAATTTTAAAACAATAGTGTGGGGGTCCCCCCCAAAATCCATAGCAGACCCTTCTCTGAGCATGCAGGTCAGGAAAAGGGGGGGGAGTGTGCGCCCCCCCTCCTGAACCATACCAGGCCACATGCCCGCAGCATGGGGGGGTGCTTTGAGAGGGCCCACCCCCCCAACCACCTTGACCCCATGTTGATGGCCGGTGCTTGTGAGGGTTTGCGGGTGGAGGGCGTATTGGAAAAATTGGTCGAATTTCGACCCATGGTATTTTAGTAGGGAGACATTCATTCATGTTCCTGGTGTCGGTGGGGTTCCTGGTGTCGGTGGGGTTCCTGGTGTCAGTGGGGTTCCTGGTGTCAGTGAGGTTTCCTGCTAACAGCTGAATGGCAAAAGAATTGTTGGCATTGCCCGACAATCCAAAAAAAATGTAATGCATGGGGTTCCCCCCTCCCATCCATACCAAGCCCTTCGAGTCTGGTATGGATTTTAAGGGGAACCACACCAAAATCTAAAAAAAAAAAAGTGTGGGGGGTCCCCCCAAAATCCATAGCAGACCCTTCTCTGAGCATGCAGGTCAGGAGAAGGGGGGGATCAGTGAGCTCCCCCCCCTCCTGAACCATACAGGCCCCCCAAAACCACCTTGTCCCCATGTTGATAGCCGGTGGTTGTGGGGGTCTGCGGGCAGGGGGCTTATCGGAATCTGGAAGATCCACCACAACTATACCAGGCAACGTGCCCCCAACATGGGGGGGGTGATTTTGGAGGACCCCCCAAAGCACCTTGTCCCCTTGTTGATGGCCGGTGGTCGTGGGGATTTGTGGGTGGGGGGGCTTATCAGAATCTGCAATATCCACCAGATCCTGTCCCCCCCCCCCCTCCTCCATGTGAATGAGTTTGGGGTACATGGTATTGCTACCCATTCACAAAAACAAAAAAAAGTCCCCCGAAGCAGATCCAACATCAATCACGATGTCACCCCTGAAGGAGCTTCTTGTATGTTCTCCATGGGGTCCCCGTGCTTCTCCTCGCAGCCAGGCACGGTACATTTCTGCAGCCAGGCACACACTTCCGCTTCTTGTCTTCCATGACCAGCCTGGGGGAGGATTTGTTGTTGGAGTTTCATTGTAGAAGAGGGGACTGGAGGGGCTCCAAATCAGAACTCTTCACATAGAGGAAATCTAGGCCCCCCCCAAAAAACCACCTTGTCCCGATGTTGATGGCCGGTCTTTTTGGGGGTCTGCGGGTGGGGGGCTTATTGAAAAAAATGGTCGAATTTCAACCCATGTATGGCCGGCATTAGGCTTTGACAATAAAACCTGAAAGCTGATTGGTTGCTGTGTAGAGCCGCACCAGATTTTAGTAAATAACCCCCCAATACCTTCCAGATCAATTTTCTCCTGCGATCAAATAGAAAAAAATGGAGGAAGGTGTGAATGAGGCCCCCGGACAGCGTCCGTCGGCTGTGCTGTGTACATCAGGAAATGATCTGACAATGTTCTATAATACTCATGTATGATGTCTGCAAATGATTGATTGTCTGCTATTTATTGATCGTTATTATCTGCAACATTGATTTCATGTTTACCAATAAATGTATTGATGATATTGGAGGATGGTGGCTGCTCTGTGTTCTCTATGTTCTGTTTTCTGTGTATGATTCTGTAGAGCCGTGTCCCGGTACAGAGACCACGCTGGGATTCCCGGTACAGAGACCACGCTGGGATTCCCGGTACAGAGACCACGCTGCGGATTCCCGGTACAGAGACCACGCTGGGGATTCCCGGTACAGAGACCACGCTGGGGATTCCTGGTACAGAGACCACGCTGGGGATTCCCGGTACAGAGACCACGCTGGGATTCCCTGGTACAGAGACCACACTGCGGATTCCTGGTGGAGGGAGAGGAGCATAAATGTCACATAAATGAATTCCATATTACAGGTTGTACCATTTTTTATTTTCGAAAAATTTGTTTTAGTAAATAATATACAGTTAGATGATGAATGTCCATCGCAGGGAAAAGCCCAGCCAATAGGAGCTCTTTCATACTAGCTTTTGGTCTCTTTTCACTCGGAAGACTGAAGACCTTTTGTGGTGAAGAGAACGGGCGAGAACGGTAACGTAGTGTTACTGAACCCACAACAGGACAATCAGTCTGTAGAGGCAGTAAGGCATGCTTGTTATACTCACTGTGGAACCTAAGGGGTTAATCCTCTGCACTGTGTAAAAAATCACAATCCTGTCTTCTCTGATCCTCCCCTTCTACTGTCCCCAATCCATCAGCTGATAGTACAGAGCCTTAGGAGTTGCTCTGCACATGCTCACTTTGATGTTTATTGCTAGTTTGTTTGTTTTTTTTTCTTGGGAGAATGCATATGATCAGCACAGGGACACGCAGCACTGTTCAGACAGAAGTCAAGGGTCCTGCATCCTCCTAGAGCAAAATGAAAACTCCTATAAGCTTTAAGCTGGACACTGATAGAAGTAACAAGACTGCTCTATACTGCTGATGAGAAAAGGGATTTAGCAGTTTATATTTACTAAAATAATTGCACTTCCATGTTCTGTGCACTGTGGGAGACCAGATATAGTGAATGCGGAGTCCGGGGAGAGAGGATACAGTGAATGCGGGGTCCGGGGAGAGCAGATATAGTGAATCGGGGTCTGGGGAGAGCGGACTTTATAGTGAATGCGGGGTCCGGGGAGAGCGGATATGGTGAATGCGGGGTCCGGGGAGAGCGGATATAGTGAATGCGGGGTCCGGGGAGAGCGGATATAGCGAATGCGGGGTCCGGGGAGAGCGGATATAGTGAATGCGGGGTCCGGGGAGAGAGGATATAGTGAATGAGGGGTCCGGGGAGAGAGGATATAGTGAATGAGGGGTCCGGGGAGAGTGGATATAGTGAATGAGGGGTCCGGGGAGAGCGGATATAGTGAATGCGGGGTCTGGGGAGAGCGGATATAGTGAATGAGGGGTCCCGGGGAGAGAGGATATAGTGAATGAGGGGTCCGGGGAGAGCGGATATAGTGAATGAGGGGTCCGGGGAGAGCGGATATAGTGAATGTGGGGTCTGGGGAGAGCGGATATAGTGAATGAGGGGTCCTGGGGGGGAGAGAGGATATAGTGAATGCGGGGTCCGGGGAGAGCGGGATATAGTGAATGCGGGGTCCGGGGAGAGAGCGGATATAGTGAATGTGGGGTCGGGGGAGAGCTGACATAGTGAATGCGGGGTCCGGGAAGAGCGGACATAGTGAATGCGGGGTCCGGGGAGAGCGGATATAGTAAATTCGGGGTCCGGGGAGAGCGGATATAGTGAATGCGGGGTCCGGGGAGAGGGATATAGTGAATGGGGGGTCCGGGGAGAGCGGATATAGTGAATGCGGGGTCCGGGGAGAGCGGATATAGTGAATGCGGGGTCCGGGGAGAGGGGATATAGTGAATGGGGGGTCCAGGGAGAGCGGATATAGTGAATGCGGGGTCCGGGGGAGAGCGGATATGGTGAATACGAGGTCCGGGAAAGTGGATATAGTGAATGCGGGGTCCGGGGAGAGCGGATATAGTGAATGCGGGGTCCGGGGAGAGCGGATATAGTGAATGCGGGGTCCGGGGAGAGCGGATATAGTGAATGCGGGGTCCGGGGAGAGCGGATATAGTGAATGCGGGGTCCGGGGAGAGCGGATATAGTGAATGCGGGGTCCAGGAAAGTGGATATAGTGAATGAGGGGTCCGGGGAGAGCGGATATAGTGAATGCGGGGTCCGGGGAGAGAGGATATAGTGAATGCGGGGTCCGAGGAGAGCGGATATAGTGAATGCGGGGTCCGGGAAAGTGGATATAGTGAATGCGGGGTCCCGGGTTTAGTAACACTTTAAAGTGGTAATAAACTCTTTAAAAAAATAAACATTTCTTGCTGCAAGGGAATATCATAGTGTGTTGTATGTATCATATAATAGCACAATAGCAAAGAAAAGTCAGCCAAGCTCTGTGCTATGTGGGAGAAGTAGGAGTGGAAATCCGGTGATCAGGTTGGAACATTCACTTCAAGGTATATAGTGATTTAACCGCAGCTCGGTCTCCTCTTCAAAGAATCTTTATTGGCACACAACAGAAAATATATATAATCCATAAAAGCTAACGTGTTTTGTCTGAAGCCTTCCTCATAGCATTCCTGAGGTTATGAGGAAGGCTTCGGCCGAAACTCGTTAGTTTTATGGAATTGTATATTTTCTGTTGTGTGCCAATAAAGATTCTTTGAAGAGGAGACCGAGCTGCTGGTTATATTACTATATGCTATAAAAGACTTACCGTAGAATGAAGCCCTCCATCTGCGCTCTATCACCACCTTCCATCTGGGTTCGCGGGCTGCAGCTGCTTGAATGGCCAAGCCGCCGATGACATCACGGGAGTCATTCTTCCCACTGATCACCAATGTAAGGGACATTCTTCCCACTGATCACCAATGTAAGGGACATTCTTCCCACTGATCACCAATGTAAGGGACATTCTTCCCACTGACCCCCAATGTAAGGGACATTCTTCCCACTGACCCCCAATGTAAGGGACATTCTTCCCACCGACTACCAATGTAAGGGACATTCTTCCCACTGACCCCCAATGTAAGGGCATTCTTCCCACCGACCCCCAATGTAAGGGACATTCTTCCCACTGACCCCAATGTAAGGGACATTCTTCCCACCGATCTACCAATGTAAGGGACATTCTTCCCACTGACCACCAATGTAAGGGACATTCTTCCCACTGACCCACAATGTAAGGGACATTCTTCCCCACCAATGTAAGGGACATTCTTCCCACTGACCCCCAATGTAAGGGCGTTCTTCCCACTGACCCCAATGTAAGGAACATTCTTCCCACTGACCACCAATGTAAGAGACATTCTTCCCACTGACCCCAATGTAAGGGACATTCTTCCCTCTGACCCCCAATGTCCCACTGACCCCAAAGTAAGGGGACATTCTTCCCACCGACCCCCAATGTAAGGAGCATTCTTCCCACTGACCCCCAATGTAAGGGACATTCTTCCCACTGACCACCACCCCACCAATGTAAGGGACATTCTTCCCACCGACCCCCAATGTAAGGGACGTTCTTCCCACTGACCCCCAATGTAAGAGGCATTCGACCACCAATGTAAGGGACATTCTTTTCTTCCCCCAATGTAAGGGACATTCTTCCCACCGACCCAATGTAAGGGACATTCTTCCCACTGACCCCAATGTAAGGGACATTCTTCCCACCACTGATCACCAATGTAAGGGACATTCTTCCCACTGCCCTCCAATGTAAGGGACATTCTTCCCACTGACCCCCCAATGTAAGGGACATTCTTCCCACTGACCCCCAATGTAAGGGACATTCTTCCCACTGACCCCCAATGTAAGGAGCATTATTACCTCTGACTATCACACTGATGTACCATGAATTGTAGATAGTCATTTTTAGTAGGGGTTCCCTGAGAACGGAAAGTTAAGTCAAGGGTTCCTCTGCGTTGAAAAGGTTGAGAGAGGCTGGTTTAGGAGATATTTATTGTACCTACAGGATGCTTCATTATAGGATTACCTGTAGGTAAAAATGACAACATTGACTTTACTACCACTTTACCATACCATAGACAGTTCCTGCTGAACCGGCCTTAATTCGAACCATATATGGGCAGGCTGAATGCATCGATCAACTTTGGTACAACCAGCCTGCCGGATTGTACATGCGATTTCCATGTGATTATAACAGCCATTGGCAATGGTCACTGTGTCTCCTGCCGGGAGAACAGGATGGCTCCTCAGGAGGAACCCCCTGTCAAGTCTCTTTGTGTTCATGGGGGGGATTGAGCGAATTTCTTTCAAGGGTTGAAGGAAAGAAATTGTCACCTTCTATGGCTTGTCATACAGTAGATATAGTGGCCCCCCCACCCTGCCCCCTTCTGCTCCCAAATACTTGGATTCGATATCTGATTAGTTTTCCCTGGAAGGGAATCCCCTCTGTTCACAGAGGCCCTGTCCTGGGTGGAGGCACTCCCAACTTTTTTTATCAATCCCACTCTTCCATTTAGCGAAGGTTCTGGGGAGAACCATTTCTCATAACCCCCCCCCCCCCCCCCCCAAAAGAGGACTACTATAAGAAAACCTCAGTACATGCTGGAAGGAGAAGGCTGGCACATGCTCATACTAATATGCATGCTCATAATTCTGCGCAAAAGCTCAATACAAAACAGGCATGGTCACACTCGAGCAAACGTATTAGCGTGTGCAGAAAACATGCGCACATGTATGAGCACTGCCACCAAATGACCTATTTAAGCTTCACTCTGACATGGATGGATTGCTGAGAGGTCTTCAGCTCGTTCCTGCTTTACCTGAGCCTTGACCTTCTATAACTGCTTACCTGTTCATGACCAACCTGTCCTTGGATTTCTGCCTGTCTACTGTGACCTTGGTTTGTATCCTGACTCTGCTCCTGTCCTGCGTTCCTGTACCTCCCTGCCCGGCTGTGTACCGATCCCGGCTTGTATCCTGACCCCGTCTCTGACTGATGTTCCTGTACCTCCCTGCCCGGCTGTGTATTGATCCCGGCTTGTATCCTGACCCCGTCTCTGACTGATGTTCCTGTACCTCCCTGCCCGGCTGTGTATTGATCCCGGCTTGTATCCTGACCCCGTCTCTGACTGATGTTCTGTACCTCGCTGCCTGGCTGTGTATTGATCCCGGCTTGTATCCTGACCCCGTCTCTGACTGATGTTTCTGTACCTCGCTGCCTGGCTGTGTATTGATCCCGGCTTGTATCCTGACCCCGTCTCTGACTGATGTTCCTGTACCTCCCTGCCTGGCTGTGTACCGATCCCGGCTTGTATCCTGACTCCGTCTCTGACCGATGTTCCTGCACCTCCCTGCCCCGCTGTGTACCGATCCCGGCTTGTATCCTGACTCCGTCTCTGACTGAGGTTCCTGCACCTCGCTGCCCAGCTGTGTACCGATCCCGGCTCGTATCCTGACTCCGTCTCTGACTGAGGTTCCTGCACCTCGCTGCCCGGCTGTGTACCGATCCCGGCTTGTATCCTGACTCCGTCTCTGACTGATGTTCCTGTACCTCCCTGCCCGGCTGTGTACCGATCCCGGCTTGTATCCTGACTCCGTCTCTGACTGATGTTCCTGTACCTCGCTGCCTGGCTGTGTACCGATCCCGGCTTGTATCCTGACTCCGTCTCTGACTGATGTTCCTGTACCTCGCTGCCCGGCTGTGTACCGATCCCGGCTTGTATCCTGACTCCGTCTCTGACTGACTTTCCTGCACCCCGCTGCCCGGCTGTGTACCGATCCCGGCTTGTATCCTGACTCCGTCTCTGACTGACTTTCCTGCACCCCGCTGCCCGGCTGTGTACCGATCCCGGCTTGTATCCTGACTCCGTCTCTGACTGACGTTCCTGTACCTCGCTGCCCGGCTGTGTACCGATCCCGGCTTGTATCCTGACTCCGTCTCTGACTGATGTTCCTGTACCTCGCTGCCCGGCTGTGTACCGATCCGGCTTGTATCCTGACTCCGTCTCTGACTGATGTTCCTGTACCACGCTGCCCGGCTGTGTACCAATCCGGCTTGTATCCTGACTCCGTCTCTGACTGACGTTCCTGTACCTCGCTGCCCGGCTGTGTACCGATCCCGGCTTGTATCCTGACTCCGTCTCTGAAAGACGTTCCTGTACCTCGCTGCCCGGCTGTGTACCGATCCCGGCTTGTATCCTGACTCCGTCTCTGACTGACGTCCCTGTACCTCGCTGCCCGGCTGTGTACTGATCCCGGCTTGTATCCTGACTCCGTCTCTGACTGACGTTCCTGTACCTCGCTGCCCGGCTGTGTACCGATCCCGGCTTGTATCCTGACTCCGTCTCTGACTGACGTTCCTGTACCTCGCTGCCCGGCTGTGTACCGATCCCGGCTTGTATCCTGACTCCGTCTCTGACTGACGTTCCTGTACCTCGCTGCCCGGCTGTGTACTGATCCCGGCTTGTATCCTGACTCCGTCTCTGACTGACGTCCCTGTACCTCGCTGCCCGGCTGTGTACCGATCCCGGCTTGTATCCTGACTCCGTCTCTGACTGACGTTCCTGTACCTCGATGCCCGGCTGTGTACCGATCCCGGCTTGTATCCTGACTCCGTCTCTGACTGATGTCCCTGTACCTCGCTGCCCAGCTGTTGATGACCTTTTTGGGTTGTGTCCTGGCTACACTCCTGTCTGCCAAGTAAGTGTCACCGTGTTCCAGTTCCTGGTCCTCTGCTGGCACTACCTTCTACATGGACCCTCGTGATATTCTGAGTCTCCACAATCCTTGTCATCTCTACCAGGGGTGTTGGACAAGAGGTACAAGAGAAGCCCCCTCTCTGGCTCGATCTCCACCAGGCACGTGAGAGCTACATTGGTAAGACCAGTAACAACTCAGAGGTCAGTAGCAGTGGCACTAACCCAACAAAGAGTCTCAAGGGAGCCCTAGCTTACCACCCTACACGATTCATCCATGTGGACTGTTCCTTATTTCCTTGTGGTCTCCCGACACCTCTCTCTGCCTGCCATGGGTTTCGCTGATTATCTGCAGCATCACACACAGTCCCCCAATACATCCTCCTAGCTGGTGGGCATGGTCATAGTCCGGCAACCAATCACAGTTCTCTCCTCATCTCCAGTCATGTGATCCTGTCAGCGACAGTGCAACACACGAGAAGGATGGGCTGTGCGACTCCAGTGCCTTTAAGCAGCTGCCAGCCAGTACACTTGAGAGGGTTTGGACCCCCGTATCCCTCCCTTTATTTACGCCCCTGCCATCTTCATAAAAAAATTATTAGGGGTGTTATCATTGAGAACATGTGAAATATATAGAAAACAACTGTAGTGTACAATTGTTAGAACAATTATACTTTCTCTCTTTTTTTTGGTTGTAACTATACAATATGTTGGGTTTTTAAGGTTTGTTAAACATATAAATAAGCCAAGAAATTTTGTCTGGATACCGGGGACTTGGAACCATGCTTTAAATAGCTGAAGATATGGTTATATCAGGGGCGGACTAACCATTTGGAAACTCGGGCCCTGCCCGAGGGCCCGGGGTCTGTAGGGGGCCCCATGAGATGCCCCTGGTACCTTTTTCATAGGCTTTTTTGAGTTCGGGCAAGGGCACAGGGGCCACATGATCCCCTATTGCCCGGGGGCCCCATGAGTTTGTCCGTCTGCCCCTGGGTTATATGGCTATGGTCACGGATTAAAAATGTGTCCTCAGCTTTTTTATACTTTTTTATATTGTTTAAAAAGCTTTAAAAACACTATTTGCACTATCAGGGCCCCCTTCTCTCTCCACAAGAAATACTGGTGGGATGCGTGAAGGATTTGCAACTGACGGTATTGTTTCAGGAGTATGGTGGAGTCAACGATCCTTTGCTGGATATAGGTGTGTGTCCTCCACCAAAAAAGTGCAATGGATCACTCACCAGATAGATAAATCCCAAAGTGTACAGAGGGTAATCGATGCTGATCAGTAGACCATCCACCCGTGATAAAACAGAAGGCTCCTCTTTTCCACCTGAATCCAGCAAAGGATTGCCAACTCTATCTGAAACAGCTCCGGAAGCTGCAAATCCTTTGTGTCCTACCAGCATTTCACATGGAGAAAGCAAAAAGGACTCCGGTAAGTTCAAAAACTATTTTAAAACTTTGTATAAATATTAAAAGTATTAAAAGCTGACCAGCGATGCACATGCATACGAGCAGGTAAGTATATGGTCCATGTCCTATCATTGCGTTCTAGGGACCCCTGATGGCATCCTTAGCATGATGGGGGTCAATGGACACCAATGTTCTAGGACTCACTAATGGACATCAGTAGACGTTGGGGTCTACCCATCTGCTGAGTGATCCGTTTCACTTGGTGAAATGGATGGAGGACTGGTGGAGGGCTTGGACCACCAAGATCTTCAGAGTAAAGAGGTATCAAATTTGTGGGGACTTATATCCTGCTGTAAATGTATTTTTTGTGTGATTATCATCTTATTATGTTAGGAAATTTGTATGAAGCCTGAGGAGGGGATCTAAGGTACCCCAAAATTCTTGTATCTTGATGATGATGTTGGCCTATAATAGGTATGACTTCAGCTCTAAATTTTCCGTATACACTCAACGTATAAATTCGAAGGTCTCCTACTTCTGTTTTCTTTAGTTTTTCTTTACTAGGATACACAAAGAAGCTGCAAAGGTAAGGCAGAGGATGTGTTCAAAGTTTCAGGATATGAACCTGTTAGAGAACCTCGAAGGTTGAAAAAAAATTACTAAATGAGAACATGGATGACTATAAGGGCATGTTCTGGGGTGCAGCAACCTTTGTTGACCCTACAGCATACTCTGCATTAAGGG